CGTGGGATCCGTCGACCCAGACAGTTATTACCAGAATAAACTCTACTGCTCAAAACGACCAAACGGGTCGTTACATTTTCTAATCAAAGTCTCATACAAGTGCGTTAATGTCTCTTAATTAATTTATTAGGCGAATAATTTATAGTAATAAGTTAGCAGAGATGATACAAAAGATTTTGGATGCATTAATATTATCTTAGTGTTTAGCTCAAATATGAGCTTTAAGATAAATTTCATACAAAAACACTAAATTAGCACTCTAATTGGATTCAATATTACCTTAGGGGTTAGCTTAAATATGAGATAAACTTGAAATAAAAATATTTGAATTAACACTCTAGCTAGATTTGAACTCAGGTCTTGTTAGTGGATCCTTTAGCTTTTAAAGGCAACATCATAACAATCATATGTTCTTCACGGGTGTACTGTTAATTATATTCTAATTTTTATCAGTTTTTCAAGATAATTATATAAGTATACACATGATTTTTTTCGAAGTTAACGAATGCAACATCCATACCTATAAGTAGGAATATTCACGGGTCGATTTGGATTGGTTATTTGTCAAAATTAAAATCAAACCAACTTAATCGGTTTTAAAATTATCAAAATCATATATAGTATATATTTATCAATTTGGTTGTTATCGATTTTGCTTCGATTAGATTTGGTTATTCGATTATTAACAATAGGAAAAAAATATTCCATTCAAAACGAGAAAAAAGTGATAACAATCCATTTAAAATGGAATAATGACGGACATTACATAACTTTCAATCATTGAATATACGTGAATAAAACTTCAAATTCATTATTTTGGCAAAGAGAAAGTGATATTTTCAATCTTATAAAGAATTGTCATAAACACACTGATACACATAAAACCAATAAAATAAATATTCTCATATTGGATATTTTTCTTTCAAAATAAATTATAAATTAAATTTTGATTAAAAGGCATATAAGATATTTAAAATTGTTTATAAAAAAATTATTATGTATGTATATTACAAAAATATTATATATGATTTATCGATTTCGTTGTCTCTTCGTTTGTTTCTAACAAAACCATAACCAACCAATATACTATCAATTTATAAAAATTTACAACCAAACTACACGGAAGCCAAATAAAATTTGATTTGTATAATCAATTTGGTTCAGTTTTTCGATTTTAACCAATTTTTATCCGAATCGTAAACCCCGTAAAAGCACACTAAACAATAGCGAAATGTAATTCTTTTTAATTTTTAAAAAAATGTCCACATTTTACATAAAATAGTCATTCTCTAGATTTCTCAATATTCAAAATTTTGAAATCAATTAAAAGATTTATTATTATATATTTCCTTATTTGATTTAACTAAGTCCTAATTTTTAAAAATTGAATAATTTTAAAGACTTCTTCTCAGATTTTGCTCTGTGACACTAACTTCTCTCTTGGTATAAAATATTACACTTAGCTTCCTACTTTTGATTTAATTGTAACAATTCTTCCTTCTAGTTGTTATTATAATTAATATCGGGAAAAAAATCATATTAGCTTCCTTCTTTTGATTTATTTGTAACAATTCTTCCTTCTATTGTTATTAATGTCGAAAAAAAATCATAATTTGAGTAATTTGCCCTTTGACAAGATAGTTTTCCATTTACGTAGTTATTTTTTTTATAAATATCATTTACTATTTTTCATTTTTATTTTGCTTTTTTTTCCCCCATTAATTAAATTAATTAATTGATAATGGTTAGTAAAAATATAAGGAAATGTAAACATGTTCCAAGTTCCAGCCGTGTACTACTGTTGTTTCTTCTTTTCATATGTATATACGGTTTCTTTAAACGCACTCTCTCCGTTTCAAAAAGAATTTCCCTATTTTTTTTTAGTTTGATTAAAAAAGAATGACCTCTTTCCTTTTTTGACAACACTTTGACTTTAACTTTTAACGTGACATGTTTAAGACCACAAGATTAAAAGACATTTTGATACATTTGACATAACTTTAATTTAGAATCACAAGATTAAAAAGTCTTTCTTTCTTTTCTTAAACTCCGTTCCAAGTTAAACTAGACCGTTCTTTTTTAAACGGAGAGTAATTCATTCATAATTCAAATATAACCAAAATTTATTTATTTCTATTTTTTTTTGTTTTATTTGAGTTTCCATGTATCATTCACAAAATTGTAATTCAATCAAATTTTAAAACAAATTCATTTTGTTTCTTCCAATATTCTAGCGTAATTGGCCAAGTTAAGAGTTATTAGAGGTCTCACAAAATTACTTTACATTAAAGACTCAAAATTTGTATATATGGTGAAATAAAAAAGATTGTGTTATTTTCATTTAATGCACAAGATTGAAACATCACCTGGACATTGCATATATATTTTTGCCTAAAATTTAAATTCGATTAAGAAATTAATTAAGTCAAAGACAGAAAAAACTTATACAAACATATAGAATGTAGTGATGTGGCAGTTAGTTAGGAGTGAGTAACTAACTTATGATTAGTTAGTAAGCATGAAATGTGTGAACAATTAGTTAGCTAACTAACTTTTGTATATGTAGTTTTAGCATTGTATATAAAGTGGTTGTAGTTCATTACAGTATTTTAGTTTTCAATAATGAAAAAAATCAGTTCTTCTTCTCTTAAACTGTTTCTAGATTGATCTCCATTTCCAGCTCTAAATCCATGGTGTAGATCCATGGTAGCTGAAGTTTACATGGTATCAGAGCATACGATATACTGTTTATACTTTCTACTTCCGCAAAATATCTATGAAGTTTCGCAATTTCGATTGATATCTCATCCTCTTTTCTTCTTGATCTACACATTACAAACTACAGTGAATGAGACCCAAGAGACTATTCACCAAACCATTTTTGTTTATACTCCTCAACAGAATGGAGTGGTGGAAAGGCGACATCGATATATACTTGAAATGGCTAGGGCTTTAAGGTTCGAAGCAGCTGTTCCTATATCATTTTGGGGTGATTGTGTTCTTACAGCTGTTCACATAATAAACAGGATACCTTCCTCTGTGCTTGGAAATAAATCCCCGTATGAAATATATTTTCATACCTCCCCTTCACTTGATAATCTTAGGGTGTTTGGGTGCTTAGCCTATGCTGTTAATGTCCATAGGAGGGACAAGTTTGTTGCTCGAGCTTTACCAACTGTGTTCATGGGATATTCAGCTACTAAGAAGGGTCACAAACTCTATGATATGCATTCCAAGAGGCTATTTTATAACAGGGATGTTGTTTTTCATGAGTCTATTTTTCCTTTCAAACAAATGACTGTCAGTAAAGATCCCATGTTTCCTGTTCTAGATTTTCTTACTGATTTTCCACCCGTACCTAATCTTTTGCCAACAACTACCACTCTTATTCCTTCACCTGCAGATCCTCTTGTTTCTTTGCCTGCAGATGCTTCTGTTCAACCACTTTTCATACCTTTGAGACAATCTCAAAGACAGAAAATTCCCTCAAAATGGTTCACTGACTATGTAGTTAACAATTGTGCTTATCCTATGTCTCATTATCTATGCTATGATTCATTATCCCCTGCTTATGCTGAGTGTTTAACTGCTCACACCTCTGACATAGAGCGTCAGACTTACCATGAGGCCATCAAAGATGAAAGATGGATTTTTGCTATGCAGCAAGAAATAACTGCTCTTGAGGATAATGGTACTTGGGACATAGTGGATTTACCTCCTGGCAAGCATGTCATAGGTTGCAAAAGGGTTTTCAAGATTAAGTATCAGGCTAATGGAAAGGTTGAAAGATTCAAAGCCAGATTGGTTGCCAAAGGTTTTAGCCAAAAAGAGGACATCGATTACCAAGACACTTTTTCTACGGTTGCTAAGATGGTGACGGTGAGGTCTGTTCTTGCAATTGCACCATCTAGACACTGAAATATCTTTCAAATGGACGTGTACAATGCCTTTCTTCAGGGCGACTTAGTAGTGAAAGTTTATATGCAGATTTATGGTTTCACCGAGGTTCTATCCAAAAGGTTTGTAAGGTAAAGAAATCACTATATGGCTTAAAACAAGCCTCCCGACAATGGAATTTGAAACTCACCAGTGTCCTGCATGATTTGGGATTTATTCAAAGTCATTTTGATTACTCTCTCTTTACTCTAACTACTGAACCTGACATTACCATCATCCTTGTCTATGTTGATGACCTTTTGATCACTGGTTCTAATACTGATATTATTCAGTCTACGCGGGTCAAGATGAAACAACAATTTAAGATGAAAGATCTTGGACATTTGCGATTCTTTCTTGGTCTTGAATTTTCCAGAAATGCTTTTGGAATTTTGTTGAATCAACAGAAATATTCCATTGAATTGATTGCTGATTCAAGGCAAGGGGGAGCTAAACCTGCATCTACACCCCTTGATTTCAACCAAAAACATACTTCCTATGAGTTTGATGTGTCTACAGGATGCACAACTGATGACAAAATGCTGGAAGACCCAGGTGGCTATCAAAGATTGGTAGGCAGACTATTATATCTCACCATGACTAGACCTGACATTTCATTCGTTGTCCAGGCTCTAAGTCAATTCATGCACAAACCTAAGGAATCACATATGCATGCTGCGATCAGAGTCATAAGATATATCAAGAATGCTCCAGGTCTTAGCCTGCATATGTCCTCAACAACATCTTCTCATCTATTTGCATATTGCGACTCTGACTGGGCCACATGTCCAAAAATCAGAAAATCTGTTACAGGTTATATGGTTGGATTTGGAACTTCTTTGATTTCATGGAAATTAAAGAAGCAAGAGACAATTTCCAGAAGTTCTGTAGAGGCAGAGTTCAGAAGCATGGCATCGACAGTGGCAGAGTTGTCTTGGCTAACATGACTTTTCAAAGAATTAGGAGTTTCAATTACACAACCCATTGATTTACATTGTGACAGCAAAGCTGCCATACAAATAGCAGCAAACCCAATATTTAATTAAGTATCCTATTACTTGTATCTACATGAGATCTAAGTAATGTGGAACTGTGGAAGGAATCCATTCATCACCGTTTATGAAATTTCTAACTGTGAAATTTGATACAATTCTGGGATCATTAGTAGTTGATGCCCACTTGACACGTCTCTTTGTATCTGCACCAACTCCTTTATTCTGATATTCCAAATAGTATGGCTGAACTATAGGCATATTTCCAAATTCTATCCACCCTTTGTGATCTACGAATATATCTATGTAACTCTGCATAATGACCGTACGTGAAAAATTTCCCCATGGCCGACCTAAGTACATAGCTACATTATCTCCTGCGTCTGGAGTTGCCAATTTCAACGTGCAATTCTGCAATACGAGTCCTGTTTGACCATTATTGTTTCTCTGTTGTGCTGTGATGACGACATATTGACCTTTTAGTGGCTTACGTATTTCAATCAAACAACTTTGAAACACTGCAGTTGCATCACCACAAATGAAATCGATGGTGCCCAAAATTACACATTCTCTGTAGAACTGTTTGCCATTGTGTGTATATACGGTGTCTTGAAAACTATCAAACTGACACCTATAGAAGGTGATGCACTCGGCAGATGCCCTTAAAGCTACCGCTTGATAGTTCACAGCTCCAGCCGTGTTCCGAAATGCAATGTCTTGCGCAATGAAGCCTCTTCCATCCACCCCTTTAAAAAAAACATCATGTCGATGATATAATATACATATACTTCTACCATTAATTTGAGCTATTTATGTGAGATCATCTTACCCACGGTAGCAGTATCGTACGTTCCTATTCCACCTCCATAACTCTTATTTCCTGTTATTATTGTTCTGTCCATTCCTTCTCCAAGAAAAACAATGTTGGTTTTCCACGAGTCGATTTGGACATATTCTTCATAAATTCCTTGTTTGATTTGAATATAGTATAGTGAAATACTATTATTCGGACACGCAAATAAAGCAGCCATTATACTACTATAATTCCCGGACCCATCCTTTGCTACTATAACATATGGAGGATGTGAAATATTTTGACATCCGACGTATTCTAATATAGATAGTAAAAAAATAACGATAATCGAAAAAAAACTGAATAAACGTAAAATGTCGAAAACTTGATTATCTTCGAGTTGACTCATTTTTTTAAAGCAAGAAATGTAGAAAATGATATATGCATAATTGTGTTATGCATGCATTTCAACTATCAAGATTGTCATGTATATATAATTTTTGGAGGAAGAAATTATGAAAAGCTAAATGAGATATTGTCTAGTACTACTAAATTGAACCAATTTGATTAGTTGAAACTTTTACACTCAATAGCTTAATTTAAATCAATAAATTTAAATTACTACATAAAGAAAAACAAAATCACAACAAATTTAAGTGACAAAATAAAGTTAAATACTAACATTGCAATATTAAGGAGTAATATAACTACCACTCAACTTATTGCAAAAAGGTATATAAATATGAAAAGTGGGATATACAAATATTCTGTTGTGTTTAGATTATAAAGAATGTATGCTTCTTTTTGAGTTTTAATTCAATATTCATGTTAGAATTTAATTTAATTTATATTTATATACCATAAAACTCATTTTTTAAAAAAAGTGCTTCCCATAAAATTGTTTTCATGGCATGCGATTTCTTAAATGAACTCTTATCATAGATAATTTTTTTAAAAAAATAAATATTAATCAGTTATATCTGTTTATTTTAAGTTTTAAAGTTATATTTGGTTAAATTTAATGTAATAGTATAAGTGGGATTGATTATGAATATATTTTAATGTTAAGGCCATTAATTTTTTATTATATGTGTCTTCAATACTAATTTTGCTTTATTTGTATCAACAACAAATTAAATTTGAGTTTTTAATACTCATTTTGCTTTATCTAGCTTAACAAACTCAAAATACTAATTTTAAACCATACACAAATACATTCTCTACTACTATTTCTTAATAATAATCAAACAAACAAATAGAATAAAAAGATATTAAAAGTAAATGTAACATCATTCTATTAAAATTTAATCATAACAAGTTAATATATATTATATACATTTTAATTTAATTAGATTAGAAGCCTCGATTCTTATTAAATTAAAATGTATATGTGTGTGTATATATATATATATATATATAAATATATATAATATTTAACTTGTTCTTAGTAAATTTTAATCGAATGAAGTTACATTTACTCAATATTTTTTTTCCTATTTATTTGTTTGTTTATTATTAAGAAATAATAGAAGAGAATTGTAGTTGTGTATAGGTGTTTATTGATTATTTTAATTGATAATTTTTTTATGTATGAATAGTATATGAGTTATGTATTAATCGTGTATGAAGTGAATTTACAATGTTATATGCGAACACTTTTAATTTTTGTAAAAATCTAATATGTATTAATTTGAATTATGTATGAACTGATGTATTTATTTTGTAAGAATTGTGTATTAATTGTATTGACTGTTCTCTAATATGGCAGTGTATCTATGATTTTTCTATGAAATTATATATTATATGAAAGATGTATGAACTGATGCATTCATTTTGTATGATATGTGTATGAATTGCATTGAAAGTACATTAATATAGCAGTATATTTATAATTTTTTTTATGAATTATAAATTAAGTTAAAAGTACTAACTTAGTTTTACCAATTTTATAGGAGAAGAAGGAACAGACACATTTGTCTTCATGTATCAACATGAATGTGTTTGATGATCTATTGACTTTCCTCGGTCAAGACAAGTTCCAACAATTTTTACAGGAAATGCCTTTTGTTTTCATGATTTACACAATATTAAAATCCAATGTTAGTTGTTACGCCATATTTTTCTGCTTGAAAGTGAAAATGACAGAGATGACATGTTTTTCATAAACGCAAATAGTACAGATAAGACTGGTCAATGGACCGGAACCGGTTCACCAGACCGGAATGAATCGATACCGGACCGGACCGGAACCCGTTGACCGGTATTGTCACGATCCAAAATGAGCCGCGAGTGGCACCCACACTTATCCTACTATGTGAGCGAACCAACCAATCTGAACCCCAACATTTTCAACCATAATAAACAGAAAATAATGCGGAAGACTTAAAACTCATTAGCAAAATCAATTAATAACTTCTAAAATTTATCAATTACTATCCCCAAAATCTGGAAGTCATCACCACAAGAACATTCTATCCTCAAATTACTAATCTAAGAGTATCTAGGAAGCTAAAATAAGTAAACAAATGGTCCATGTCCGAACTTCAAGGACATCAAGACATGAATGAGAGAGAATCCAGTCCGAGCTAGGAACAATAGCTCACCCTGAAATTTGATTATGCTGAAGTCTGGCTAGAGTTGCGGTTGAGTCGAAGTTGATGGCACGTTTGCTGCACTCCATAAATAACAAAGAAGAAAATTACAAGTAGGGGTCAGTACAAGGCACAAGTACTGAGTAGATATCATCGGCCAACTCAAAATAGAAAGCAATACATATCAAATAATAACATAAAACCAACCAAATACTTAACAGGTGACAACAACAAGTACCATAACCATTGTCCACAACACCAAGCACATCTATGAGGACTCAAGCCTCCACACCATACTCATTTGGGAAACAGGTTCTTTAAATCTGAGTATATTAGCGTAATTCAAGATTATTCTCTTTACTATACTGGTGTCGGAACGTGACACTCCGATCCCCTCAACATTCATTCATCTTACTATCCTGGTGTCGGAACGTGACACTCTAATCCCCTACTATCCTGGTGTTGGAACGTGATACTCTGATCCTCTACTATCCTGGTGTCGGAACGTGACACTCCGATCCTCTACTATCCTGGTGTCGAAATTTTTTTATCTATGAATAGTATATGAGTTATGTATTAATCGTGTATGAAGTGAATTTACAATGTTATATGCGAACACTTTTAATTTTTTTTAAAATCTAATATGTATTAGTTTGAATTATGTATGAACTAATGTATTTATTTTGTATGAATTGTGTATTAATTGGATTGACTGTTCTTTAATATGGCAGTGTATCTATGATTTTTCTATGAAATTATATATTATATGAAAGATGTATGAACTGATGCATTCATTTTGTATGATATGTGTATGAATTGCATTGAAAGTACATTAATATAGCAGTGCATTTATAATTTTTTTTATGAATTATAAATTAAGTTAAAAGTACTAATTTAGTTTTACCAATTTTATAGGAGAAGAAGGAACAAACACATTTGTCTTCATGTATCAACATGAATGTGTTTGATGATCTATTGACCTTCCTCGGTCAAGACTAGTTCCAACAATTTTTACAGGGAATACCTTTTGTTTTCATGATTTACACAATATTAAAATCCAATGTTAGTTGTTACGCCATATTTTCTGCTTGAAACTGAAAATGACAGAGATAACATGTTTGTCATAAACGTAAATGGTACAGAGTTAAGGTTTGGACTAAAAGAATTTCTGTAACCGGTCTGAAATCTGGATCAATTTCTGATTTTGTTTCAAATCACTCTGTTCCAAATAGAATTATTGCATTTATATTTTGTTCCATATTAAGTTGAGATATTATAGCATTAACAAAACCACTATAAAGAGTAGACGCTTCATATATGATGTCCTCCATCTGAAAATCGACATATTTACCTGTTTCACAACATTAAGATAACATTTAGTATAACATAATACATATAATTGCAAAATAATTCATACACATTCATACACATTTAAAATACATTTCAATGACCTATAAACTACTTAAATTAACTTTTAAAAGATTGTCCATTCATAAAATAAAATTGATAATAATTTCATACACAATTGTTATAACTTTCATCATCACAAGAAAATAATAACTAAACAAAAAAAATAAACAAAAAGAATACAATTTTCATACAAAATTCATACAAAAATATATCAACATTTTACCTTCATATGCCAAACAGAAACATATATTCTAATTTCAACAAAAACCAAATTTCATACATAATTAATACAAGTTTCGTATAAGTTTCATATACGATTAATATAACTATCATACTTCGACGGTCCACAGAATTATAACTACTTATTTTTTGACTAGTGACTGAACACATTGTACCATCAAATTCATTTTCTCTATTTTGTTCATAAATCAAGTATTATGCGAATCTTTCATTTTATTAAAACTCAAACACATCATTTACGTGTTATTTTTCAGATACGGTATATATATCAAATCACTGTTTCATTCAAAAAAAACAAGCTATAATCTATATTACATATCTTAAAATGACCGAAAAAATCGACACAATGTTTTCCATGTTAAATCAACAAATCATAATTATAACAAATGAATCATAATTAAAACCAACTAATGAATTTCACCTTTCACCATGTTTAATTAATATCGACACAATGTTCTCCGTCACAGCAAACCAATTTTTTTCCAATGCCAAAATTTCTTCAATTACTAAAAAAATGAAACTGATATCTGCCGCAAATCTGAAAGAATCGTGAAATTTGGGGATAAAAACAGCTTGTACATTGATGTCAATTTGTTAAAGCTTTTTAAGGAATTAAATCAAAATTTAATCTCATTTAAACTAATTTGAGAGATTTAAGGCAACTAACTAATTTGAATATTTTTTAAATTTCCTTAAAACGTGCTAATAAATTAACACCAATTAATAGCCATTTTCCATTTATATTTTTGTCCGTTTTTTTCTCTTCAATTTTTTTAAATAATTTTTTTTAATTATTTAAAATTAACGTTATATTTTTTTTTAATAATATGTTATAGCTTGAGATATTGAATATTATATATTGAAATACAAACTCTAATGCTATATCTTAATAATATTTATAGAAAATGTTATATACCTAATTTACGCTTTTATTAATCTACTCCACTCATTAACTTTATTTTTCCAATTAACTCATAAAAGAGGGCTTTCATATTTA